GGTCAAGGATTCCATGCATTCCCGTCAATTACAGATTTGCCATATGCTAAATGTAGTCATAAGTAACTTGTATTTACAGCTTGTAATCTCAGAATGTTCTCTTTTTTTTCAGTTGTGAAACCGGTCTAGTGTTGCCATCTTCTGGAATGATTAATTACTGCAAAAAGATCAAATAAAAATCAAGGTGCCTGTGCAAGAAAAGTCAGGCTGTACATTATGCAAGTACTATGCTGATGATGACAATACACCATAGCATATGTGTAAAAGCCAAAGCATACTTTCGTGTATGTGCTAGGGTTTAAGTACAGTATGCATAAATGATGTCAGCATTGACGTGGGATTTGATTTTTCTAACCATGAATACTGTGTACACACTAATTAGTTGGTCCACAAGAAGGTAACACAATGTGTCATCACTGGGCCGGGCTGTTGAATTTCTAACTTCCTACTTGGAAAACTGCAAAAGAATGCCATTTTAAGTCAAACTTTGAACGTGGAATGTCCAATTTCACCAATTTTGGCATTAACTTCGAAACACTCAATTCTGAGTACAAGTATGTCCCGGTTGTCATTTAATAATTACACTAATTACCAATGCAGTATTTCTTTCTTGCTGATTGAATCCTAACGATAGCCATTGTGTTCCCTTATACACATTTTCTGATTGTCGAGCAGTGGATCGCCTAGGAATATTCCGTTTCCGACTTTGAGTGGAACTGCAGCTTTGGTAAAAGTATTAATGGGCTCTGAAAGATTTTGTTGTGCTTTGGATAAAATGCACCATATGGTGAGCTTAATCTAGAAACTAAATCTTCAAAAAAGGGGAAAAAAAAAAAAAATCGATCTCGTTTAGTTTTTCTTTAATTACAGCAAATCACTGAAAAATTGTCATCCACATGGTCCAATCCAGAGAGCTGAGGTGGCAGAACATGCTCTTTGTCTGTTTCTCACTCAAGCTTCCTTTAGCGCTCTCTCCAGGAGGAAAAGGGCGTCCTTGCGCCGCTGCTGTGTGTCCCAATCTCAGTGCTTGCCTCGTTACAACTGGCCATCAATGAGAGCGTTTCAGCAGAGGGGACCGTGTGACCCTGTGAAAGATGGCAGTGTTCTAGTTTGCTGACTGCTGTGTTGAAATCCTCTAGAGAGCCATTAAAAACCTGACGACAGACAGACATTAGGGTTGCATTTAAGTACAGCTCTTACAAACCTATTTTGTGTCTGTTTTTAATGTCAAACTTTCACAATCAATACATGGAACAATGAAGCAGGATATAGACACTGTTACCTTTTTCCAATAGGATTCAATTTTCCTGTATGTATGTATGTGTCCATGTGTATGTGTTGAAGCTCCCTTGATTCATAAACATGAAAGGTCACACAAAAGGTTACCTCTAATCCAAAGCATCCAGATATTTCAAGGCTTTGGTTCCCCAATACAAATGCCACAGAACTATTCACTGCAAATCTATCATCACAAAGTCCTTTTTCAAAAGCAGATATGCATTGAAGCGCTGCCATCTGTTGGGTGAAGTTTGTAAGTACCTGGCTTTTAAAGGAAAAGTTAAAAATGGTGTGCCAAAAGGAAACTTCACACTTTTTCTAATAATAAATGTACACTACCAATCAAAATGTTGGTGCAAATGCAACTTTTCTGTGTTCAAAATACAGTAAATTTTGCACATTTGTATTTTCAGCATCATTACTCCAGTCTTCAGAGTCACATGATCCTTCAGAAATCATTCTAATATGCTGATCTGCTGCTCCAGAAACATTTTTGTGCTGCCCAAGAAAACATGAAAACCATATAGTGCTTCTTTCAGGATTCTTTGATGAACAGAAGGTTAAAAACAATACAATTTATTTGAAATGGAAATCTTTTGTAACATCTGTCAGAAAGCACCAGTATGTGCAAGTCTCATGAATTCCCACTAAACAAAGCTTTGAGTGAGGAACAGACATAAATTCACTGGAAAACTCCACCACAGCCCTTAAATATGAAATATGGCACCTATGAAGCAAGTGATATCATGATTTGGAATGAACACAAGTATTGACTATACATTAATGATGCTTTTTTGTCATTGTCGGAGCTTGAAATGGTGCGATTCTTCCAAACACACTATACACACAGTATTTTTGCTTGGTGAAGCAATGCAGAAATGCCATATCCCATATCAGCTATGAAATCATAATCATTCTCTGCTTCGAAAGGTGACATTTCAGCGGTGACAAATGTGCTCACCTCAAGGACACACATCTGTAGAGGACAGGACGTGTAATTGAATCTAGCGTCCGTCCTTTTGCTGCCCGTTCACTCAGTGCCACTGCAATGATCAGAGGAAAAACACCTATACATCACCGCTGCTCCACCACTGGCCCACCATCTCCACAGACCTGACAGAATATAAATCATGTCTTTACAGCGAGCTGCTCCAAAACATAATTACAGCTTGTAAAATTTGGCACTGTTTTCACATAAACCAAAGGTTGGACAGAAAAATTGGAACGGAGAATTTGGAATAGAATCATGCAGAAGTCTCACTTTGCTTTAGACACTCTCATAAAGACACTTTTTCTTCAGAAGTCATAAATCTCGTTTGTGTGTGTGTGTGCGTGCGTGCATGTTTATGTGGTTTATGAGGACACAAATTTGTATAATAACATGGGTATGAGATAGGTATTACAACGAGAAGGTGATTTATGAGGACATTTCCAGTGTCCCCGTAATTCAAAAGGCTTATAAATAATTCAGATTGAGTTTTTTTGAAAATCTAAAAATGCAGAAAGTCTCCTGTAAGGGGTAGGTTTAGGGGTAGGGTTGGTGTAGGGCAATAGAATATACGGTCTGTACAGTATAAAAACCATTACGCCTATGGAGAGTCCCCATAAACCATGTGTGTGTTTTTTTTTTTTGTTAGTTAGTTTTAAATGTTTTTCGAAAATATTTTAATTTTAAAATGTAATTTATTCCTATAATGTAAAGCTGAATTTTCAGCATCATTACTCGTCTTCAGTGTCACATGATCCTTCAGAAATCATTCTAATATGCTGATTTGAGGCTCAAGAAACATTTCTAATTATTATCAATGTTAAAAACAGTTGTGCAGGTCCATTTCTTTCTTTCTTTATTTCTTGGACACTAGTTGCTGTTATTGTTATTATTATTATTGTCCAGGATTCTTCAATAAATTGAGTTATATAAAAGCAATATGCTCTGTGAAGCCGTGGTTTACAGTGAATTTATAACAACTAAGGGGCGTTGTTAGGCACGACGCAAAGCGGAGCTAAAACCCCCTTAGCTGTTATAAATTCACTGTAAACCACGGCTTCACGGGGCTTATTGCTTTTATAAAACGGTTATTCCATATACGTAGTAAGGTTTCACAAAATAAAACAGAGCAAATAAAGTGTAATGATATTAATAAAAACAGTATTCTTCCACCAAACAATGTAGTTCCTCAGAAACAGTTGTGGTTGCAACAAAGTGTTTGCCGAGCAACACACACACGTAAACAAAGGTGTGTGTTTGTAGAGTAATTTACAACAGCTTCGAACGTGGCTCAGCCAATTAGAATGAAGAACCAGAACTATCCGGTTAATAAATAAATTTCTTACCCATGTAGAGTACATACGGTCTAATAATAAAATAAAAAGAAAATACATAAAAATACCCTCCTCTTTACCAGTGTTGGGGAAAGTTACTTTTAAAAGTAATGCATTACAATATTGTGTTACTCCATAAAAAAGTAACTAATTACGTTACTTAGTTACTTGTTCTTAGGCGTCTAGGGACTAAGAAGGGGAACATTGGACCAGTTTTGACCAGTACCAGTTTAACACTCGGTGTGTGAAGGAAAATTACTGAAACTAGAGACTAAATCAAGTGAACTTACTTTATTATTAAAGACCGTGTCAGTTGTTTACACAAAACAAAAAGAGAATAAATATGTATAGGAAAATAAAGAATTTATAAAAGAATCCTAGACACACCGGCAGCTTTACAATATTGGAGAACTGGGGAGGTTATAGGGAACCTGGATTGTGCCAAAAAGAAAAAAAAGTAACAAAACCAAAAAGAATCTAACTAACCCTTTTTGGTCTAGTCCTGAACTAAAATAAAGAAAAATGTGAAAAGGAAAACGTCTTCAACGTCCGAGACGTCGTAACTCAACTTCACTAACTAACCAAACCAAAAAATACAGAAAATGGCACAAATCCCTAACCTAGTGTGTCTAACAACAAAATCAAACTACATGTGCACCATGTAAGTCACGTGACATAACTTACATACCCCTTTACCTTTTAACATCTTTACAAGGCTCTCAAATGTCACAGATCAGGAGTTTCGGGTCAGCCAAGTAGGCAAGCTATTTTACATGGCAATCACAGCACATCACACTCTAAACCAAACACACAAAAAGAATATCACAACCACGACTCAAGCAGAAGAACACAAAAACAAGAAAATACTCAAACGACAAGTCTCAGTATCACATAAGGACGTAACATTATTCATTTTGAGGAATACTGAATCTGTGTGTTTTGTGAGTGAGATGAATTAATGCATATTCATATTTATTTTAGAACTACAGTAACATCTGATTTCTCTCAACATGAGGACAGGAGAGCTGTCAGTCAATACATTGGGAAAAAAAAGTAACTCAGATATTCTCTTGTAAATTAAAAAGTAATGCGTTGCTTTACTAGTTACTTGAAAAAGTAATCTGATTACGTAACTTGCGTTATTTGTAATGCGTTACCCCCAACACTGCTCTTAGTATTTTATCCTCAATTAATTTAGCATATGCCTATATTTAGTATTAGTGTTTTCATATTTTACATTAGTTTGAGGTTAGATCCTAAAGTGTATTGCTGTATTGTATCACTTCTGCCTTTGAAAATGTGAATAGTATTATTTCAATACCATAGTATTTTCCCAGAGAGGTAAAACAATGTTGCACATAAATAGCAAATCATTTCAAACACTTGAAATTATGCATTTATTAATTATATATTAAAGTGCAGTTAAACTGTTCAGTAAAGGCGTCCAGCAGTTTTGGTACGGCTTCCTCAGTTGGGACGTCCCGTCCCAGCTCTCGGCTCAGTGACGTCACACCTTTACCCACAATCCCACATGGCACAATGTCATCAAACCAACTCATGAGCCAGTCCATGGGAGGTGACGTATCTTCCACAATGAATACCAGCAAAACAAAATATTAATACTTTATCTCAGTCTTCTCTTGAACTTTATTTCGTTGACAAAAGGTACAACGGTGTCCCGTGTTTTTTTTTTTTTTAAACAAATAAATGAGAAAACAAACTAAAATTAATATTCTGAATATTCTGCCATTTCTAGGTGACCAATGAAAAGAAAACACATTGTGACAATGAAAATGCTTGTGGGAAAACTACCATTTAAAATTTTAGGGTCAAAAGTAGGATTATTTTATTTTTTTAGAGAAATTAATTATTTTATTCAACAAAGATGCATTAAATTGATCAAAATGACTTAAAAGGCTTTTACATTGTTACAAAAATATATATTTTTTAAGAATCTTAAATAAATAACATTGTTTTGAACATTATATTCTTATTCATTAAAAAAAATCCTGAACAAATCCTAAAAAAAAAATCATGGCTCCCACAAATATATTAACATTGATAATAATAAGAAATGTTTTGTGAGCACTAAATCAGCATATTAGAGTGATTTCTGAAGAAATATGTGATACTGAACTACATTTTGCAGTTTATTAAAATTGAGAATTAAGAAGTAAAGTTAAATTGTAAAAAACAACAACAACAAAAGAAAAGTCCCAAAAAGAAAGTTGTACTGTATTTTTAATCAAATCAAATGAATGCAGTCTTGGTGTGCCTTGCTAAAACTTCTTTCAAAAACATAATAACAACAATAATAATAATGGTAACACTTTATTTCAATGGTCCACTTTAGACATTCTATTAACAGTAAGTAACTTTGCAACTACATGTCAACTAGCAGTTAGTAGAGTATTAGTAGACTGTCTATATCTTCTAACTTTCTTTGTCAACTTATTCTACTAAACCTACCCTAACAGTCTACTCTGAGAGTTAGTAGACATGTAGTTGCAAATAAATGAGAATGAGTTGACATGTAGTTGACATGTAGTTACAAAGTTACTTATAGTTAGTAGATTGTCTAAAGTGGACTATCGAAATAAAGTGTAACCATAATAATAATAACATTTACATATACTTTGAAGAACATTTTAAATAACTGCTTTGAAACTATCTCCATTGTATAAAGCACTATAAAAATAAATGTGAATAAAAAAACAACAACAACAAATAGTTCAAAAATTGTACTTCATGAAATACTAGAGCGGTGAACAGACTATTAAAAAATGACAACCCTTTTTCTTCGAAGAAATTCATCCAAAATTCTTATTTTAGTTGTGATATGTTTTAAATGACTTTTGTAAACAAATATACAAATAATTCCAATACTCTTATTTTTCCCCCAGATTTGACACTATTATTCTAAGTGGGCAAATTAATAATAGTAATAAATAACAAACAGAGGTGTCCAAACTTTTGACCTGTAATCAACGCATATAAAGAAAAAAGCAAAACAAAATAAAAAATGAACTTACCAATTGCACAGATTTTGTTGTCGCCCACCCAGACACCCGTATCCGGAGAAGTGGAGGCTTCGATCCCAAATTGACTGCACATCTTGATCACCGTCCTTTCCAGTTCACACACATACCATCTCACACTCTTCTTAAAGCAGGCCAGGTTGAGGACGGGATAACACACCAGCTGACCAGGACCGTGAAACGTTATTAGACCTCCTCGGTTGGTACGGAAGAAGTCTGCGCCCAGCGCTTTGAGTCTCTGCTCCTCCTCAGGAGGGTAAGGAGCCCGTCTGATGCCCACGGTGTACACAGGCTCGTGTTCACACAGTAATAAAGTGTTTGGGCTGCAGCTGGACGAATCCAGATGCTGCTTTATGTGCTGCTGCTGGACCTTCAAGGCACTGCGGTAGGAAATCCTCCCTAAACGCACCACCTTCACAGCTGCCCTCGTGACTGTCATTGTGTCCTCACTTAGGCTTTTGAAGCATCAGCTAAAGAGACAGAAAAGACCAGGTCACGATTACTTCTTGTATTTTATTTGTATTAATCCATAAGAGGCTGGAATGTGAATCACTAATAGTGTGACATGATATACTGCATCTAAAACTATTAAAACCTTTTTGTTAATTAAAATAAAGCTGAAATAAAATTAAATATAAACATTAGTAAACAATTATTTTATAAAGAGGAATGAGGTTTTATGGAATCGTTATGTGTAGGCTATATTATTACGCCCAGATTACAATAATAATAACAATTGTGAAAATGTGTAGTAAACGAAAGTGCTGCAAACAATCGAACAAACGAATGAATTGTATGTCATTAATCAACTACAAACCCGGTGCAATGACAGAAAGATAGAATGATAGAAAGTTGGCAAGGAAAATCAGTAGACAAAAAACAAACCATTTGCAATTGACCTGCAACATCTCAAGAGGAATCCAACACCAACTGTAATGTCCTCATTTAACACCAAATCCACCTAATGAAAACAACAAGTACAAACATAAACTGATGTAAAGGAGAGTCATTTCTTACTGTACGCTGCCATACTGCGGCCCTGTCCCAAATGGCACCCTAAACTCTCGCGGTCTTCCTCTGAGTCAGCACTTTCGTGACGTAATGCCGCTTTGACTGTCGGGTAGAAGTCTGCTGCGGAGCTCGCCCCAGTGCGGGCTGCGTAAGACCGCAAGTGCCCATGAGTGCACAATTTGGGACAGGCCCCTTGTCCAAATACCCACACTTGCGGTCTTGGCCACTTGAGAGCGCGTGCGCGCGACAGGAAGTAAGTGTGCAAGTCTGTCCCATGTCTTCAAAATGCCAAAGTGCAGTGCCCTTAAAGCACACTAAATCCACTCTATCTCGAATACCGCTCCAGAGCGCTATTCAAGGCTAAGTGTATCCCATCATGCATCGTGTTCTGGAAATAAATCGTGAGACTTTTTGCCGAGATCTCGCGAGCGGTCACGGAAACCTTTCCAATGCAAGTTAAATATTAATATAATAATGAGATATTACAAATAATTTGGTAGAAAAACTGTGTTTTTAACGCACTAGACACTTTTCACACACACTGCTTTGTGTACATAAATCCCACAAAAGACTCCGTAATAGGTGCGTTTACATGCTCATGCACTACAAATCATCTGCACTGTTCCCCAGCCAGCTGCTGACTACGATGTTTCTCTTTGCACATGTACAGTATTATGTGAAGCATCCGTATAGTCTGTATTCTTTATTTTTTTTTACTTATGTATAGGTAAACGTTTATATATATAGTATATTTATAATCAAAATCAGTCAGTAGGTTAGTTGTGTATAGGCTTTTACTGCTTTACTGTATAGGTTTTTACTTCACTGTTGTATGCCTGTATTTATGTAACACCGTGGTCCTGTGAGGCACGACATTTCGTTCCACTGTATGTCCTCACATGCAGCAGAATGACAATAAAGCTCAACTTGACTTGACTTGACTTGACTTGAAATACGTCATTTAAGTAGTCAAGTGCAAAGACTGCAAGTGTGGGTATTTGGACAAGGCTAGGGCCTGCCAGTACAGATCTTACTCTGCTTTAACTCCACAGAGTGAAGGCGGAGAGCGTGGCGCTTTACTGCCATCGACTGGTTTGGTGCGCTACCTGGTTTAAAGCAGCACTATGTAACTTCTGGCGCTCTAGCGGTTAATACACAGGGCTACACACATCCCGCGGAAGAACATTCCAACCGGAGCTACTTCTCTAAGTTTATGTCTATGGCAATTCACGCAGGTGTGTGTTCCTCCGCAGCAGTGACCAGGCTACAATAGTCCAAATATAAGTACTTATTACACACACACACACACAAACACACACACACACAAACACATAAACACACACACACACACACACACACACACACACACAAATAAAGGCATCTGCAGTGCAAATACTTAAGTACCTTCCATTCCTCTGAATCCTGCAGCCTACCCTATTCTGATGGTACTCTCAGTCTTCTATTCGATGGCAAAAGTCGATATTCCTCATACAAAATATTGGAATTGTAATATATAGAATAGTATTATAATAATTAATTACATTTTAAGAGTAATTTAAGTGTACTTTGTGGCCTCTGTATAAAATGAAAATAAGAAATGCAGCTCTTACGTTTTGTTGAAACCTGATTACTGGTCGAAAGTTTGGACACCTCTGTGTGTTATTTATTATTAATTTATTAATTCCCATTTTGAATAATAGTATCAAATAAAATACATGTGTTGGAACTATTTTTATATTTGTTTACAAAAGTAATGTAAAACATTTCTATCACAACTATTAAAATACTTTTTTTAAGTGGATTAATTTATTTAAAAAATAATAATTTGTTCACCACTGTAGCAGTTCATGAAGTACGAAATGTTTTTAATTCACATTTATTTATATAGTGCTTTATACAATAGAGATAGTTTCAAAGCAGTTATTTAAAATAACTTCAAAGTATATGTATATTAGTATCAAAGTATATTATTATTATTATTATGAAAGTTTTACCAATGCTCACCAAAACTGCATTTTTTTATTAAAAAAGCAGTATAACCTTATTTTTGTGACTTTTTACCATCAACTTTATTTCTATTTAAAGGGGTCATATGATGTTGATAAAAAGAACATTATGTTGTGTATTTGGTGTAATGAAATGTGTTTATGCGGTTTAAAGTTAAAAAAACACATTATTTTCCACATACTGTACATTATTGTTTCTCCTCTATGCCCCGCCTTTCTGAAACACGTCGATTTTTACAAAGCTCATCGGTCTGAAAAGCGTGGTGTGCTGTGATTGGCCAGCTATCCAGTGCGTTGTGATTGGCCGAATACCTCAAGCGTGTGACGGAAATGTTACGCCCTCACATACTGTTGAAGCCGTGTCCGGCCAGAGCGACGAGACAAACATTAAAACCCATTATAAACGAGGCATTTGTTGCATCCAGTGGGGTCATAATTACTGATTATAATGACTTATACTGTCTTTT